GTGGTGAAAAAGGAACATTTATACACTTCCAGTAGGAATGTAAATTAGTACAATTTCCACGGAAAACAGTTGGAAATTTCTCAAAGAACTACAGGAATCTACCATTTGATCCCGCAATCCCACCACTGGGTATCTACGCAAAGGAAAGGAAGTCATTCTATCAAAAAAGACACCTGCACACATATGTTTATCACAGCACAATTCACAATTGGAAGGATATGGAACCACCTTAAGTGCCCATCAACCAATGAATGGAGTTCGACACCAGATTGGTGTCGAACTCCCGACCTCAGGTGAACTGCCCGCCTCAGCCTACACAGGTACTGGGATTACAGGCGTGAGCCACCACACCCAGCCCACATCTCAGACTTCTGACTTCTAGAACTGTAAGATCATAAATCTGTATTGTTTGAAGCCACTATATTTGTCACAATTTTTTACAGCAGTAGTAGAAAAGGAATACAAGCTACAAAAGGAAGTCGTGGTTTTTAATTTCTTCTTATGCTTTTCAGTGTAACCATTTCCATTCTGGGGCTTGAAGGTAGCCCTGAGCATGACTGGTATCCTGTTTGCTCCCACACCTTAGGGTGGTGGAGGATGGGGTTAGGACACATGGTCTGCCTCCGGCCCTGGCCTCATGAGCTTGTAGAAATCCATGTCTTCCCTTTCTCTCTAAGCCACCGTCAGCTAATTTGTGTGCTTTAGTAGAGACGGTGTTTCGCCACGTTGGCCAGGATGGTCTCAATGTCCTGACCTCATGATCCACCCGCCTCGGCCTCCCAAAGAGCCGGGGTAACGGGCGTGAGCCACCGCGCCTGCCCACCGTCTTCTTTTTCTAGTTCTTCGAGGTGTAACATTCGGTTGTTATTTGAAATCTTTCTTGTTTTTTGACGTAAGCAATTATTGCTGTCAGCTTCCCCTTAGAACTGTGCTTTTCCTGCATGTCACGTGTCTTGGTATGTTGTGAGTCCATTTTCCTTTGTCTCAAGAGACAGTTTTTAGTTTCCCTTTTAAGTTGTTCTTTGATCAGTTGGTTGTTCGGGAACATGTTGTTTCATTGGTTCGTATTTGTGAGTTTTCTGAAATTCCTCCTTTTGTTGATTCCTAAGTTCCTATCATAAGCGGTCAGAAAAGATATTCGATATGATTTCAGTCTTCTTAAATGTGCTGTCTTGTTTTGTGGCCTAACATATAATCTATCCTGGAGCAAGTTCAGTGTGCACTTGAGAAGAATGTGTTTTCTGCTGCTGTTAGGTGGAACATTCTGTATATGTCTGTTAGGTCCGTCTGCTTTATACCGTTCCAACCCACGTTTTCCTCATCGATTTTCCCTCCGAATTTCCATTGCTGACAACGGAGCAGTGAAGGCTCCTACTACTGCTGTATTGCAGTCTATTGCTCCCTTCAGATCTACGATTATTTGCTTTACATATTTAGGTGCTGTTACGTTGGGTGTATGTGTGTTTATAATTGTCATAGCCTCTTGAAGAATTTGACCCCTGCATCATTATATAATGACCTTCTTTGTCTCTTTTTATAGTTTTTGACCTAAAGTCTACTTTGTCTCGTACCACTATGGCCACCCCTGCTCTCCTTTGCTTTCTATTTACGTGAAATGTGTTTCTCCATCCCTTCGCTTTTGGTCTATGAGTGTTCTAAAGGTGCAGTGGGGCTCTCACGGGCATCATAGAGCTGGCTCTTGGTTTTTTCCTGTTTTAATTTTAATTTTATTTTCCATTGGGCTTTGCTATGTCTTCGACTAGAGAATTTAATTAATTTACATTCAAGGTAATTATTGATATGCAAGGACTTACCGTTGCCCCTTTGCTCATTGTTTTTGGTTGTTTTGTGTATTCCTTGTTCCTTTCTTTCTCCTTTTGCTGTCTGCCTTCACGATCCAGTGGTTTTCCATAGTGATCTACCTGGATTCTTCACTTTATATCTGTTGTGTATCTGTTACAGATTTCTGTTTTATGATTATCATGAGGCTTACATAAAATGTCTTACGGTTATAAAAGGCTATTCTGGGCTGGTGATAAGTTAACTTGGATTACACACAAAAACTACAATTATGCTCCCTACCTCCCCTTCCGTTTTATGTTTTTCATGTCACTACTTACATCTTTTTTGTATTCCATATCCCTTAACACATTCTGTAGCTATACTTTTACAAATAGTTTTGTCTCTCTACCTTCATACTGAAGACAAAAGTGATTTACACACCACCATTTCAATACAAGTATTTTGGTTTTGAACGTGTTCTTGTTTTACTCACGAGTGTTCTACTTTCTATTTTTCTTATTGCTAATTAACATCCTTTTTCTTGGCCGAGTGCGATGGCTGAAGCCTGTAGTCCCAGCACTTGGGAGTCCGAGGCAGGCTGATCACTTGAGCTCAGGAATTCCAGACCAGCCTGGGCAAAATGGTGAAACTCTGTCTGTACACAAAATTCAGACAAACGACAACAACGACAAAATTAGCTGGGCATGGTGGTGCGTGCCTGCAGTCCCAGCTTCTTGGGAGGCTGACGTAGGAGGTTTCCTCGAACCTGGGAAGTTGAGGTTGCGGTGAGTCACCATCACACCACTGCACTCCAGCCCAGGTGACAGAGTGTGACCCTGCCTCAAAACAAAGAAACAAACAAAAAGCAAAACCTAAAAAACACACGAACTCAAAAACCACATCCTTTTCTCTCAGCTTGAAGAATTCCCTCTGGCATTTCTTGTAATGCACTGAGCTACTTTAGGAAGATTATTTTTAATTCCTTCTTACAAAGTTTCGCAGTCTCTGCTTCTTTAGGGTTGATTAGCGGAACTTGACTTTGCTCTATGGTACTGTCATGATTCCCTGATAGTGTGAGCTTTGTGGGCGCAGCATTGGTGTCTGTGCATTTACAGAAGTAGGGACCTATTCCAGTGTTTGATGAGTGGCTCTGGCTGGGAAAACCCTTCACCGGTCAGTCCATCCAGAGATTCTGGGAAGACCATCTGGCATGGTCCACGGATGGGTTGCTGCTGGATTTCTTGGGAGAGCTGGCTTGGTGAGCAGGTAGGGTGAAGCTGGCACCTGGGTTCGTGGATTTTGGGCCTGAGTCCTGGGGCCATGCAGACCAACCTGAAACCTGGGTGCACAGACCAGAAACTGAGGTCCCTAGGCCAGGCCAGAGCTGAGGTCTGCTGGGACAGGCCTAGACCCTGGGTCTGCTTTGGTAGGCTTGGACCCTGGGTCTGCAGTGCATGGGGATACAGGGGTCAGCCGGGAGTCTGGGGCCACAAGGGCTGGCGTAGCCCTGGGTAGTCCTGGAGCATGCATCTGTGGGGCCAGCCTGGAGGCTGGGCCTGCCGGTGCCATCTAGGGGCCTGAGGCCATGTGTACCAACCTCGCATTGAGGTAGACCTGGAGGTTGGGTCCGTGGGTGCTGGCCTGCAGCCTAGGGCTATACGGGGCCAGTTTTGCACTGAGGAGGACTTGAAGCCTGAGGCCGTGTGGCTCGGGTGTGCCCTTTGCCTGTCTGGAGGCTGGCGTGGGCCTGGGAGCCTGAGTCTGAGAGAGCCAGCCAGGAGACTGAGGCCAAGAGCACTAGACTGGCACTGGGCAAACCTGGGGCCTTTAATCCTTGGGGGCTGGCCCGGAAGCTGGCTTTGCAGGTGCTGGCCTGGTGCTTGAGGTCACAGAGGTCAGCCTGGAGCTGGAGTACGTACAGAGGCTAGGTCTGTGGGTGCCAGCCTGACGTCTGAAACTACAGAAGCCAGCCTATCATTGAAGCAGACGAGGTCCAGGGTCAGTAGGGGTTGTCCGGACACTGAGGAGGATCTGGAAGCCTGGTCCACGAGTCCAAGCCTGAAGTCTGGGACTGTGGGGACTGGTCTGCAGGGGATGTCTGCATGTGCCAGCCTGGGGTCTGGAGCTCTGGAGGCTTTCCTGGAGTCTGAGGCTGCAGGGCCACCCTGGGTCCATGGCAGGCCTGGCGGGTCAGTCCATGGGTGCCAGCCCAGGGCCTGGGGCTGTGAAGCTAGCCTTGCCCCCACGCAGGCCTGGAGGCTTGGTTCATGGGTGCACCCAGAGCCTAGGGCTGAGGGAGCAGCCCGGCCATGGGGCCTCTTTGGAGCCTGGGGTAACCAGGGCCTGCCTGGTGATGAGGTGCGCCTGGAGCCTGAGTCTCTGCGGTTTGGACCCGCACTGGGGTGGAGCCGAAGACAATGTGCAGGGGTGACCCGGAGCCTGGGACTGCAAGGGCCAGCCTGGCGCCCGAATCTGTGGGAGTCAGCCTATGCTAAATTGATTTTCGAGAGCGTGCCAAGGCCATTCACGGGGGAAATAATGTTTTTCTGGAAGAAATGATGCTAGGCTCAGTGGTTATCCACATGCCGAAGAATGAAGCTGGATCCATACCTCATACCATCTAGAAAAATCAAATCAAAATGAATTCAAAACATAAATGTAAGAGCTAAACCTGTAAAACTTGCAGAAGGAAACATAGGCGTAAATCATGACTTTGTATTTGGCAGTGGATTCTTAGAATATGACACCAAATGGAACTTAGAGATATGGCTCTCATTGGAAAGTAGGTGCCTGGCCAGAGGCGGCAGGACAGGAAGAAAGAGGTGGGTGGAGAGCCCCAGAGCGTCCTGGCCCCAAGACAGGAACCAAGAACCACGACCCAGTCGAAGCACGGGCGTCGTCGGGGCAATCCAAGAGTCTGCCTCCCGATTGGGTGAAGCCCAGAGGCCTCGCCCAACAAGGGGCGCGCTGGTTGGCGGTGGACGGACCAATGACAAGGCGAGGAACAATAACGGGCGCGGGAACTGAGGGCGCCTGGAAGCCGCGCCATGTCGGGGACGTCTCGCGAGCAGCCTGTGGTGAGGGCGGCGCTGTCGCGAAGGCCTCGCCGTTCCCGTGGCCTGGCCCGCTCGGCTGGGCTTGGCTGGGGTCAGCCCTTCCCCTCCCACCATTACCGAGACGACCATCTCCCCACGGCCCAGGCTGACCGGACTGGCGCCATGAGCTCCCCCGATGAGGCGTCCGTTTTGGGGGCCGATATGGGCCCAGAGGGTGGCGATCAAGCCGGCGCCCACACCGCAAGCCCCGGAGCCTCATGGGGCTGGGGCCGAGGCCGGGGCCGGGGCCGTGGCCGTGGCCGCGGCCGTGGCCTTGATTTGGGGGCACAGCGCAGCGGTGAGGGGCAGGGCGAGAGCCGGTTCGCAGATCCCGAGGGCTTCAGCTTCGAGTCTGAGAGGGAAATGATAAAGCAGCAAAGGGCGGTGCTCTGGCGACAGGCAGACCGGCCTGGCACCCCGGTTGACGACCGGGAGGTCGGTCCCAGTGGGAGAGGCGCTCCGGGCCCCAGCCCGGGAGAATGGCAGCAGGCCTCCGCCGGCCCTCTCCGCCTCAGTGGTCCTGGGACAGGCCCGGCCTGGGAGAACCCGGAAAGGGGCTCGAAGAGCAGCAGTGTGAGCGTCCCAGTGGATCCCCAGCAGCCCTCCGCGGAAGGCCCCGCCGTGCTGTCTGAGGACGCGGACTCTGATGGCACAGATGAGAGCAGCCACGTACCGGTGATTACGGTAATCATTCGCACCAAAGAAGGAAACCCGGTGGAGCCCGGAAGCCCCGAGAAGCCAGCAGACCCTTGCAGACCCCCGAGTTTGCACGGCAGGGAGAGTAGCCGTCACGTCCAGGGCCCTCTCCCGACCTCTGCTCCCCACAGACTCACTCCAGCCGTGGAAGAGCTGGACGCGTCTTCCTCGAAGAAAGTGCGGAGCAGGGTCCGGGGAGAGGTGGGGGTCAGGCCCAGCTGCTCAGGAGCTGCCGTGACAGGGCCAGTACCCCGGGGCTCTCCAGGAAGGAAGGTGGCCCAGGACAAGAAATCCCTGGGGGCTGAGCCAAAACTGGCCCCGGAGGGAGCCTTTCCTGCCTGGGGGCAGAGACGCTCAACAGTTCCGCAGGATCCGGCCAGCTTACCGCCAGTCTCTGGTGTGGGTCTCCTGGGGAAGTCCGGGAGACCCAAGGAGCTCAGGCACCGCAGCCCTGGGAAGAAATCCGCGGGAGGAAAGACCAGGGCGTCCCAGGCTGCGGCCAGAGAAGATAATGACCCAGATAGAGATGAGGTCCCAAGGGCCCAAGTGAGTAGATCCTCTTTGCTGCACTCCTCCTCGTTCTCCTCGTCCTCTTCCTCCTCTGTCTCCCCGTGGCCCACGTCTCTTCCGGCACACACCTCTTTACCCATGCCCCCTCTCTCCCTTGCTCGAGGGTTGTCATCGGGAGCCCAGGGACACTAGGAGGCCCGATTGGGGTCCTCCTCGTAGGGGCACACATTAAAGGGAGCAATCGGTGTGTGCCAGGCCCGGCTGTGGACACTGCAGTGGTCCTGCCCCCGCCCCCAGGAGGAGCTGGGATGGAAGGCTCCTACCCCAGAGAGAAGCTGGTTTGGATCGGGGGACCCCTGAAAGTGTGGGCCGCAAAGCTTGGACGTCTAGCCTCGTCCTCTTCCCCATTCCTCCTTCCCTCGCTGTTGCGCAAGCCCTCCCGTCTTGGGGCTGACTGAGGGAGAAAGTGCTAATGAGATTAGTCTGGAGTCCCCACCTTAGCACAACCCCTCCTCACGTGTACTTGCCGCCAGCCCCACTCAGAAATTGCTGTTTCAGCTTCCCACACACCTGCCAGAGGTGATTTCCCCATCCATTCGTCTTGGAGAATGCAGCAGTGGGGACCCCGCCATCAGAGCTCCCCAAGTTCCAGGAACCTCTCAGCCCTCGGCCTTGAGCGTGAGACGTCTGGTGCCCAGTCGCCGTGAGTCTTGTGGGTTTGATAGGGGTGGAGGGGAGAGGGGTTAGGGAGGGAAGCCTCTAGCTCTGTCTCTTTTGGAAGCTCAGCCTTGCTCCCAGGCTTCCCTGCCCAGCCAGGCAGCTGTCCCAGGGGAAATGGGGTGTCTACTGGGCTGGCCTGAAGCCACACGGTCCTCTCTGAGTGGGATTTGTGCGGTGGGGGGCGGTTTGGAGCAGCACCCCAGACTCCAACTCTGGAAGGAGACTTTCAGCGGCACTGAGCCCTTTTCTGTTAAGTCCTGCTCAGCCACACTGCCCCTCCCAGGGCCTGGCTGTGGCGGCCCCACTGCTGGCATCCTACCAGGAGCTACAATGCTAGGGGGCCGCAGGTGCACATGGGCTCACACTGGGGAACAGGGAAGGCAGTCCCACGGGGAGGGTGAGGGTTGGAGCTGCTGGGCAACGTGTTGCCAACACAAAGTGATGCTGCCTCACCTTAGACCCTTCTAGGCCCTGTCTACCTCACTGGGAGGTTTGGAGGCTGGATTTTGTGTTCTCTTTCAGGTCACCATCGGCGGCCTGTCCGTCTCCCAAGACTGGAAAGGCAGCAGCCGCCGCCGGGACTCCCGGGCTGTCCTCGGGTAATGCTTTGTGTGGCTCCCAGGAATCCAGGTCCACACTAGATGCTGGGATCCGTATCCGGGTTAAATTGGTTTCGGTGTCTTCCCCCACCCCCTTCTCCTTCCATACCCCACGGAGAGTAGGTGCCTCCTTTCTATTGAGGGTTCTGTGCCAATCCACCTCACCACCGGGCTGCAGTCTATGGGTGCTGTAAGGGCTGGGGGAGAGAGGGAGGACAGGGAGAGAGGGGGCCAGAATTGACTAACCATTTCTCTTCCTCCCGTCTGGCGGTCTAGTGTGTCTGGCTGCAGAGGGAAGTTGAGGACCTTAGAGACCAACTAGGTATGACGGAGCCCTGGCAGGGGCAGACAGAGATGGGCAGCGCTGTCTTCCCGCAGGTGCCGAGGGTGGGGGTGGGGGTGGGGTGCAGGTGCAGGCCGCATCACCGGGACTGACTTTCCTCTGGGGAAGAGAACCAAGCAGGCCCGGCCCTGGAGCCTTCCGTGCCTTTCCAGCCGGGGGTGTGCACAGACAGCAAGGGTCGTCTGAACTCCATGTACACTTTGTCCACGAGTCCCAGAGATCTCCTTCTCTTAGGGCCATTAGAGATACCACATGTGTTTTCCCTTTAACTGCTGCCTGGTACGGCTTGTGCGGTTTTTGCTTGGTGGCTGGCGTATCTGTCTTGGAAACACGTTCTGAACGGTTCTGGGATGCCCCAACACCTCAGAACCACTTTCCCGCTTAGAAGGCATTTCCACCTTTACTTCAGGTTGACCGGTGGGTTTGTCAGTCCCAGGCCGCTGGGGTTTCAGGTTGCAGGGCTAGGCGGTTCCCCAAGTGGGCAGGGGGTGGCTTTCTCTTTCCCTGGGCCTGGAGAGCCCAGTTCTGCCTCTCTGTTTCAGTGGCCATGCAGTACCTCGTTGAGAAGTCCCAGGACTTTTGAAGTGAGTGTTGGACACGCCATTCCCCTTCCCACAATCCTGGTAGCTTAGGAGGGCTGTGTGCTGGCCCTGGCTGGGGGGAGGGCAGGGGGCGGGCGCCTGTCCCTGAACCTGCTCTGTTTCACAGGATGGAGCCAGCGTCTTCCTACAAGATGTGCAGCTGGTACCTCTGGAGCCCCTGAGCTGCAGCCAAGCTGGTTCCCTCCGAATCGTCTTCGGCCAAGGCTTCCTCTCTTCCTCTGCGTTTGCCCTCTTCCCACTGCAGTTCAAAGCAGTTTCATTAAAGTCAGTCAGTCTCATATTCTGTGGTCTGTGGTCTGCCCTCTGTGCAAGTGTTGTGGGGGCTGGCCTGGGGAGGGGCGGGGAGTGTTGCTCAGTTCCCTGGCACTGGAAGAACAGTTTCCCAGGAGCTCTGCGGTGGGCCCTCTCCCTGCGGCGTGCCTGGGCCGGCCTCTGAGCAGCAGCCCTCCAGTCACCACAGTGCTCTGGGTCCAGGTGCTTTGGGAGCCCTGCCCGGCCACAGCAGCATTTCCCGCCTTTCCCCTGCACGCCTTGCTCGTGGTCCCTCCTCTTCTCCTCCTGCTTTGGGGTCTCACAGGTCCCCTTCTTCAGCACTGTTCTCCCTTGCCTTCAGCAGGCACCGAAGGCCTCCTTCCAGAACCCCGGTGTCTCCTGCCTTTCCTCCTGTGGTTCACTCTGTCCCGGTTCTGCCCTGTCACTGTCCTTTCTGTCATGAGTATCCTTGCTCTCCCTGTTGGGTTGACCCCGGTGACCTTTCCTGCAGGGTTATTTTGGTGCTGTTGAGGAGCACGACAGAGCCCATCCTCCCCTTCAGGGGCCCAGTCCTCTTTCTGGAGCCATTCTGTCCCTCCGGTGCCACCGCGCGCACACAGGTCATCTGGGCCAGAAACCCGCGCGGCATCCTCAGTTCCTCTCTCGGCCGTCACCTTTGAACCTCAGTTACCCAATCCCATCAGGTCTCCTCCTCAGTTTCAGTAACCAGGTGGAGGCAGAAGCCACATCCCGGTGGGTGGCCAAGCAAAAGGGATGGCACAGGGAGCTCGAAAGAAAAGGTCGAGGTAGTCTCTTGGTCGGAGGTGGGGGCAATGGTCTGTTCTGGAGCCTGCGGGCCAACCTGGTGGAAACTGCCTGCCAGCAGCTACACGAAAGGCGGCTTCCACATCCCTGGTGTCCTATAGGCGGCCAACAGCGCCTTCTGCAGCCGGTTGGCTCCATACCCTTGATTTGAAAAATGGCCACCTGCTTTCCGGGGCAGGTGTGGATACTAGGCATGACTGTTCTTCCACAGTCACCATCAAATACCGTTCCACCACCTGCAAAGCCCCAGGTTTTTGTGGACATGGTATTTCCGTGTCCCTCCTCAGTCTTCCAGGCTGCCTCTAGAGGTCACACGAGATTTCCTTGAGCTCCCCATTCTGTCTTCAGCCTCCCTGACAGTTGGGATGGCCTCCTTCCTTCAGCCGGAATTCCGGGCCGGGTGGGCGTGAGACGTGGACACAGATTCCGGTCCCAGTGAGGAAGTGTGTGTAGATTCTGCCAGCTCCTAAAACCGAGAGATTGGGTATTGAACAGACAAAGACAGGAGAAATGCAGACACCATTCAAGGTTATTGTGTGTGGGGAGAGAGGTCTGTGGTGTTTTATTTTGCTTCGTTTCGTTTTGTTTTATAGAGACGGAGTCTCACTCTGTTGCCGAGGCTGGAGCGCAATGCCGTGATTTCAGCTCACTGCAGCCTCCGCCTCCCGGGTTCAAACGGTTCTCCTGTCTCAGCCTCCCGAGTAGCTGGAATTGCAGGCGCGCACCACCACTCCCGGCTAATTTTTGTGTTTTTAGTAAAGATGGTGTTTCACCATGTTGACCAGGTCTCAAACCCTGACCTCAGGACATCCCCTGGCCTCGACCTCCCAAAGTGCTAGGATGACAGGCATGAGCTACCGCACCCAGCCAAGTCATGGTTTCTACATGGAGGAAGTGATACTGAGGTGAAAGGTCAGCTTCCCCACCATCTCGGGGTCCCTGGCAGGACGTCCAGCTGTTCCTGACTCAACCCACAGGAAGCATCGTGAGTGCCTGAGGGGAGAAACGTCCCTGAGGACAGCCAGAGACAAAACGGGGAGGCAGAAGTATCGTCCTCAGCCCTGGAACCTCTGCTCTGTAACTCAGCCAAAGGAGATGCCAAATGAGAACGGCTGTTCAGCAAGCACCACACTGTAGGTGGTATGTTCCACGGGGCCCCCTGGGCACGGACCCTTAGCCAGCTAGCTCTTCCACACTGCCGAGATAACACCTTTGGGACCTCCCCCATTCTGGATGGCCAGCACTCTGATCATTCGCTTAGACGAGACAAACTTGGGCTTAAGGCACCATCTAAGGCTGTAAAGGAGGCAATTGCCTAGCAGAAAGTAAATAAGACATTCAACAGGGAAATTATGCAGAATCTCTAAGCAAACATAAAATTCCAAACAAGCCAGAGTAGGCTGGAATAAATAACAAACCCTTTAGGTACTTTATTTTATTTGTAGCTGTTGTGAATGAGATTACTTTCTTGATTTCTTTTTCAGAGTGTTCACTGTGGGCATATAGAAATGCTACCGATTTTTGTGTGTTGATTTTGTATCCTGCAACTTACCTGAATTTGTTCATCAGTTCAAATAGTTTATTGTTGGAATCCTTAGGTTTTTGCAAATACAAGATCGTGTCATCTGCAAACAGGTGGAAGGATAATTACCAGAGGCTGGAAAGGATAGTGAGGGGTGAGGGAGAGCTGTGGATCTGTATGTTCCTTCTATACCCAGTTTTGTGCGGGCTTTCACCGTGAAGGAATTTTGAATGTCATCAAACGCTTTTTTCAGCATCAATGGAAATGATCCTATGGTTGTTATCATTCATTCTGTTGATATGATGTATCGCATTGATTGATTTGCATATGTTGAACCGTCCTTGGATCCCTGGTATAAATCCCACTTGATCTTGATGATGACGGAACGTCTTTCCTCTAAGATTTGGAACACAACAAGACGCCCACGTTCACCACTTGTGTTCAGCCTGGTGCAGGAAGTCCTAGCTAGAGCAATCAGACAAGAGAAAGAAATAAAATGAATCCAAATTAGACAGAAAGAATGAAGTCAAATTTGTGAATGTATTGCTCAATTCGGTTTGCTAGTATTTTGTTAAAGATTTTTGCATCAATATTCGTCAGAGAAACTGGCCTGTAGCTTTCTTTTTTCTTTTTCTTTTCTTCCCCTTCTTCTTCTTCTTTTTTATTGTGTCTTTGTCTGGTTTTTGGTATCAGGGCAATACTATCCTTGTAGAGTGAGTTTGGAAGTATTCCCTCCTCCTCTGTTTCTCAGAATTGTTTGAGTAGGATTAGTATTAGGTCTTCTTGAAATTTCTGTCCCTTTCCAGTGTAGATGCTTTTAGATATCCTCTTCTCTCTTAGCACTGCTTTTGATGTAGCCCATAGTTTAGGTATGTTATATTTCCATCATCATCCATTTCAAGAAACTGTTAAATTTCCTTCTTAATTTCTTCACCGACCCACCGGCCGTTCAGGAGTATACCGTTTAATTTCCATGTATTTGTATAGTTTCTAAAATGTCTGCAGTTATTCATCTCTAGTTTTATTCCACTGTGGTCAGAGAAGATGTCTGATATTATTTGGATTTTTTGAATGTTTTAAGACTTGTAACCTCACATGGTCTGTCCTTAAGAGTGATCCATGTGCCCAGGAAAAGAATGTGTATTCTGCAGCCGTTGGATGAAATGTTCTCTAAATACCTATTAGATCCATTTGTTTGGCAGTGCGGATTAAGTCTGATGTCTCTTTGTTGATGTTCTGTGTGGAAGATCTCTCTAATGCTGAGAGTGGGATTTGGAAGTCTCCAGCTATCATCGTATTGGGGTCTATCCCTCTCTTTAGCTCTAGTAATATTTGCTTTAGATAGCTGGGTGCTCCAGTGTTGAGTGCATATATATTTACGATTGTTATGTCTTCCTGCTCAGTTGACCTCTCTGTCATGAGGCTTCCAGGTACTATTCACCATGAGGCTTCCAGATACTATTTTATAACCACTTTAAACTGACGACAGTTAGCACTGATTGTATACACAAACAAATAAGGAAAAAAGAAAAACAAAAACAAAAACAAAAACAAAAAAACTGGTTCTCATTTTTGGTTTCCAGTAGCATGGAATATTTCTTTCCTTCCCCTTATTTTCAGTCCATGTTTGTCTTTATAGGTGATGTGTGTTTCTTACAGGAAACAGATCATTGGGGTTTTAAAAAATATTTATTCAGCTACTCTATGCTGTTTGACTGGAGAGTTTAATTCACTTACATTCAGTGTTACTGTTGATAAATAAGGACTTGCCTCTGCCCACTTATTTCCTTTCTAGTTGTTTTGTAGTCTTCGTTTCCTTTCCCTTTTTGTCTTCCTTTGAGAGGAGATGACTTTCTCTGACGGTGCAATTTAATTTCTTGCTCTTTATTGTTTACATACCCATTTTCTGTTTTTCCACAGGTTACCGTGAGGCTTCCGGATACTGTTTTGTAACCCATTATTTTAAACTGATGACAACTTAGCACTGATTGTATACATAAACAAAGAAGTCAAAAGATAACTAATACAAAAATCTACACTTTTAACTTCATTCACCCACTTTTCAAAAAAAAAATTCATCTATTTTCCTTTAGGTGCATACTATATCTGGCATTTCTCCCCGTGTGATCCCTCCCCACACTCCCCTCCCTCTCCACCCCCTACTGTCTCTCCCCTACCCCCACAACTGCCCCCAGTGTGTGATGTTCCTCTCCCTGAGTCCACGTGTTCTCCTTGTTCAACACCCACCTATGAGTGAGAACCCGCAGTGTTTGGCTTTCTGTTCTCGTGTCAGTTTGCTGAGAATGATGGTTTCCAGATTCATCCAAGTCCCTACAAAGGACACGAACTCATCGTTTTCTATGGCTGTGTAGTATTCCATGGTGTACATGTACCACATTTTCTTTGTCCAGTCTATCATTGATGGGCATTTGGGTTGGTTCCAGGTCTTTGCTATTGTACACAGGGCTGCAGTGAACATACGTGTGCACGTGTCTTTACAGTAGAACAATTTATAGTTCTTTGGCGTTCACCCACCTTTTAACTTTTTATCATTTTTCTTTGTGTCTCTTGGTACTGTCTATGTCTTGAAAAGTGGTCACAGTTATTAGTTATTATTTTTTACACAGTCTTTTTGCGTGTGTATGTAGTGGTTAAAATTTTGTTTTCCTGCAGGATAAACAGCCAATGGAGGCTTCCGTCTCGCCATCGTGCTCCGCCCTCCCAACTGCATCCTCAACTCTACAATTTCTGCTTGATTTCTTTTAAGTATTGCAATCTCTCTGTTAAATCTATCTGATAGATTTCTGAATTTCCTCTCTGTGTTATCCTGAAATTATTTGATTCGCCTCAAAACAGCTCTTTTGAATTACCTGTCTCAAAGGTCACATATCTTTGCTGCCCCAGACGTGGACCCTGGTGCCTCATTTCGTTCACTTGGTGAGGTCATGTTGACCTGGAGGGTCTTGATGCTTGTGGATCTTCATCAGTACCTGGGCATTGAAGAGTTAGGTACTCATTGTAGTCTTTGCAGTCTGGGCTTCTTTGTACCCATCTGTCTTCAGAAGCCTTTCCAGATATTCAAAGGGGGCTGGGCATCGTAGTCTAAGTTGCATCTGCATTAGGGGTTACCCCAAGCCCAGTAACACTGGGATCCTTGCAGGCGTGTAGAGGTACTGCCTTGGTGGTCTTGGATAAGATCCAGAATTCTCTGAATTACCAGACAGAGACTCTTGTTTTCTTCCCTTATTTCTCCCAAACAAAGTCTCTGTCTGTCTGTCTATCTGTCTGTCTGTCTGTCTCTCTCTCTCTCTCTCTCTCTCTCTCTCTCTCTCTGTCTCTGTCTCTCTATCTCTCCTTCTTCCGCACCCCTCCCCTCATTTCTCGCTCTTGCTCTTGCTCTCATTCTGTCTCGCTCTCTGTTGCTCTTCATGTCTCTCTGTGCTGAGACATCTGGAGCTGCAGGTGGGGTGACACAATCCCCCCTGTGGCCACCACCACTGGGGCCTTGCTGGGTCAGACCTGAAGCCAGCACATCACTGGGTCTCGCTCATTACCTGGCTATAACCACTACCCGACTACTGCCTATGTTCACTCAAGGCCCTAGGACTCTACCGTCAGCAGGTG